TAATTCCCCCACTTCTCCCTTCCCCACCCCCACCCACGCCGGCGCATCGGCTGCCCAACCATCCTTCACCGGTGCGCCACCTAACAACCAACCGCTGACCGCCCTAACCACCCCGAAAACCGGCACCCTTCCCTAGTACGTACCACTTTGTTAGTAAACCCTAAACCCAACCCAAAAACACTGCAAAACCCAAACTCATTTAGGGGTTTTAAACCAAACCCAGAAATTGGGTATGGGTTTTAAGGTGGTTTTGGTAGGGTTTAAGGTTTTCACACTGCGCGAAAGGGGAAGGGGACTCGTCGGTTTTCGGGGACGCGTAAGGGATAGGGGTCGAATCGGGGTAGGGGTCAGGGGAGGGGGGCCGATTCCGACAAGGAGAGGGTGGTGTCGGGGAAACGAGTTTGGGTTTTGCGGTGGTGGGAGGTTATTTTCGAGGGAGAGTGGGTGGTCGCCGGCGCTAGGGGGAGAGTCGCCGGTTTCCGGCCGCCGGGAGGGGGCTGGGCAGTGGGAGGGTTTTTTTTTTAATTTAATATAATTAAAAAAAATAAAAAAAACTAACTATAGTTAAGGAAATAACACTTATCAATGGTAATCAATAATTTAGGTTTACTATTGATAATTAATTTTAAGAATGTTCACCATGTAAAATTAAATAATTGGAGTTTACCGGTGAGAATTTCCCAAAAAAAAAAGTGAGAGGTAGTATCTCTCTTTTTTTTTTTACATACTTTATGTTAGCTTATTTCCAGGTAATGATGGATCATTTTATCACATACTGAAACACCTTAAGAAGACACTAATTTACGTGCATAATTACTGCTTCATGAACGACTTTCTTGGTTCATTATCATTTTATTATTTTTACATACCTTATGTCTAGCGTTTTTATCTTCTTTAGTGAGTAATACCTACTCAGTAAGTTTAGTTTTTTTCACAGATAATAAGGTTAGAGATTCTTCTATGTAATATGCTCATTCGGGTACGGTGGTCTCATAAATTTGTTCTTTGTAGTATTTCATTCGTATACAATACATTACTATTGGATTTAGTATGATACATTTATACATTATGCTTTATCCATAGTTGAAACTTGTAAGTAGAAGTCACAATTGACTGGAATGATTAAGTTGTAAGTAGAAGTAACAACAGACATTTAAATTTTAAAATACAAAGGAGTATTTTTTTTTTGGTAAAAGTTGTCAAATTAGCCTTGTAGAGTTATAGTTCCAATCTATTACGGAGTATCTATTAATTAATGTTAATAGTCTTATTGAAATGGTTAGGTTGTTTGTTTGATAGATGGTAAATTGGCTTGTGGTGTGATTTTGATTATTTATCGCAATTCAAATTTAGATTGTATAACGAAGGTCATGACATATACCCACAGTGGCGGACCTAGAAATTTGACAATGGGGGGACAATTTCGATAATTTAACTAACAATAACCTATTTAAAAAAAAATGGGTACACAATACAAGTATTTTGGGTTTGGTTGGGAAATAGGAATAAGGGAATAGTCGAGTGGTATGGTTGAAATAAAACACCAAAAAAAAAAAAAAAGGAGTGATGTTACAAGGGGGATTCGAATGCCATATTATCTTGTGATGTTAATTTCTTAGCAAACATTTGCCAAAGATGCTCGTTGCAGTCCGTGACTCGTGAGTCGTGACCGCGTGGGTGGTACGTGGTTCGTGCCCCGTGGTTGGGAAATAGGAATAAGGAAGTAGTCGAGTGGTTTGGTTAAAATAAAGGAATTTTTAATTTTATCACCTCCAAAAACAACTTAATTGCTTTTACCACCTCCATAAAAAAAGTTTTATTTTATCATCACATAAAAAAAAATGAAAATTGACTTTTACTACCAATCACCGCCAACTAACGGATTTTATCCATAAATTCGTTAGTGGAGCCTATCATGTCCACGTGTCACCATATTATTAAGTAAAAAAATAAATAAATTAACAAATAAAAAACAAAACCCAATAATATGGTGACACGTGGACATGGTACGCCCCTAACGGATTTATGGACGGAATCCGTTAGTTGGAGGTATTAGTGGTAAAAGCCAATTTTTTTTTATTTTTTTTTTATGTGGTCGTAAAATAAAACCTTTTTTTATGGAGGTGGTAATACCAAATTTTTCGTTTTTTACGGTTGGTAAAAGTTAAAATAACCTAAAATAAAACACTCACCAAAAAAAAAGAAAAATGATGTTACTAGGGGGATTTGAACCCTCATCTAGGTAAACCTGAACTTGGGCCCCTTGACAAATTGTTTCTAGCCCACTAACAACTTAGCTAAGGCAAACTTTTTGTTTATTTTTACATTCAATTTTATATAACTATTTTCCAGTTTTATTTTTTTTCCTAAATTTTTTTTTTCCTCTGTTTTTTTTTTCGAACGTGGGGGGACAATGGTCCCCCCTTGTTCCTTCATGGGTCCGCCCATGTATACCCAACATTCATGACATATATTTGCATGGTCAAACCAACAATAAATGCAATTAATGATGACAAAGCAAGTGACGGAGCTGTTAATCATTTCCATCCAAGTTGTATACTTCAACATGTGACTAGGATGCTGATTGGGTTGCTTACTGGACTCCCTCAAATGCAGCAAGCTGATGTGGCTGTGAAGATTGACAAAAAACGTTAATCATGAAGATTAACTGGGCAGCCCTCTTATTAGTTATAACCTGAATGAGTTTAAAGATCTTATTTCCAAATGCCCGTTGCTTGAGCACCTCCATTTATCCTTTACTTTTTCTGAAGGCTATCTGACTATTCGTGCTCCGAAACTACGAGAGTTTTTTCTTGAAGGCGATTTTGTTAAGGATTTATCGTTGGAAGAAACTAGAGCTATAGAAATTTTGTCTCTACGTATTGATTGCCTAAAGTTGCAAGGGAGCAAAAACATAACTTATTTCTTTAGTTGTTTGGCCAACGTTGAAAAGCTCACTTTATGGGTTAGTAAATTTATTTTGAGGTTAAATATAGCAGCTGAAATTTTGCTCCTTGAATTCTTTATTAATCAGTGGTAACTATTGTATAACTGTATGTTTGATTTGCAGGTATACAATTTCAGTGGTTTTGCATATCCAAAAGTGTTTCCAAAGTCACTTACAAGGTTACAAGTACTTGAACTTAAAAATATACCTCTGAATTGTGATTCCGGCATCTCTCTTAGCTTGCTCTCTGCTTGTTATTGAGCTCACCAAATCTAGGGCGACTACATATCCAAGTAAGTTTTTGATTCTAATGTATCTTATTAGCTAGCTTCTCCTTGATATTACATTACTAATCATGATTCTGTCTGTCTTTGTAATATAGGTTATAGACCTTATATTAGGTCATCGAGTAGAATCAGATGATCATCAGTTAAATCAGTTCGATGACTCTTGTATATTTCAATGCCTTAAAACTGTACACCTTTTTGGTATCACAGGATTATTGAGCAAGGAGCTAAAACTATAAGATTTCTACTCGCCTGCTCTCCCGTGCTGACTATTAAACTGTGTATGGCAATGGGAGGTGCCGACAAACAGGCTAATTTCTTCAAGGAGTTGAATCAATGTCGTCGAGCCTCTCCAAATGCCGTGATGATTATTAAAACTTAGAATACGAATGTTGGCTACACTGATCATTTTTTTATGTAACAGATGTTCTTTGATTTGACTTTTGCTACGTACTCTTTTTGCCTTAGAATCTTAGAAGCTGTATTAGTTTCATCTTAACTTCCATTGACTTAAGATATAGCTTATTTTGCCCCAAGATATTTCGAACTTTTTAGTGTGGATACTGGTGGAAATTAAATGATGTATGGTGATTTTAGCTATACATACATTATTGGCTATTTATGATAAATTTTGCATATAGCAGGACCACTATCTTGAGTTTACAGTGATGGCTAGCCACATGATATCAAATGCTTACTTTTTTGTTTGGTAGAAAGGAACTAGATTTGATTACGATAGTATCTTGCAAAAAAAAAAAAAAAAAAACAAAAAAAAAGACTATGATAGTACTCATAGTAGGAACATACATCATTATTAGACAAAATTGAATTGGCTTCAACAACATTACTATAGCTTTGGTTACTCTTATGGCACAACCTTAAGCCAATTCAGCCCACACCATGAACTATATGGAATTGGTTCACTTGGCCCTTGGGTGTACCATAGCAACAAATTATGTTTCTAAATGATATAAATGAAATGACATTATCTACTACGAGTATTACGTATTTTATTTCACATTTAATGATCAATGTAATTTTCATGAACTATATGGTCTTGATTCACTTGAATCCGAGAAATAGCATAAATTAGAGAATCGGACAGTCTTGTATTTTATATCACCTCTAGTGCCTTTTATGCCATTTCATGCACTCAATGTTAGGGTATGGTGGGGGGACGGGGAATGGGCGGGCCTATTTTGGGGGACGAGAGAAAGGGGTGTAAGGTCGGAGAAAGGGAGGGATGGAGGTGTCGTGGCTGGGGGAAAGGGAGGTCGCAAGCAAGGGAGCTGGGCGGTGACATAGAGGGTGGATTTTCCTTTTTTTTTTTTAACTATTAGAAAAATATTTAAACTATAAATGTTCATGCGACAAGGCAAAGTACCCCTTGACCAAATAACCCATAACCAACAAAGTAGCCCCTAATCAGCCACATATTAAACTTTGTAAACTTAGTATCAAAAATATAACATTACCAAAGATAATAAATCTTTTTTTATATTTCATCAAATAAAAAATTAACAAAGATAATTTCTAATTTAACCCTTATCACTGGCTTTGTAACTAGGGTACATCAATTGATATTACTTGCAATTCTATTTTGCATTATATATTTCTCATATTATTATTTAGGAATACGAAATTCTCATTGAATTTGACTGGGATAGTAGATTGGTTGAGCGGCAATCGTGACCTTCTCAGCGACTTCTGAATTTGTATCGTTTTCCATTATAAGGTTTTCTATTGCATCCCCAATCCCATCTGTTATGGAGAATCAGGATGTGCCAGTGCCCGACGTCATGAAAATACCAATAAGACCAGGTAATTTCAAAAAATATTATTATACATTTAGATTTCATTGAAATTAATTAAAATTATACTCCCTCCGTCCCAAAAACAACGACCCATTTCGGTTGATTACGCGGGTATTAAGGAAAGTAGGTAAAAAAAAAAAAGTATATTGGAAAGATAAATTTACATGGAGTTTGTAAAAAAATAGAGAGAGAAAGTAATAAAATAAACGGAGGGAGTATTTGATTATTGAAATAACGATTGTAATTTTTATTTATTTTTGTTTGTTTATATACTACTAAATTAGCTATCTAGCAAATCTTGTAGGAGTTGAGGAAGTGTACTACATTTGAAGTAGACAGTAGTTTGGATTTCGGGTGTACATAGAGATAGTGCACCTCGTGGCTGTGTTCATAGATATTGTTCGTGTTTATGGTTTAGCAAAGAGACACTTATTGCTAACACTCGTTCATTCCTTATTGTTATCGCTTTATCACATTGCTATATTTATCGAGCAATTAGCAATGCTATCAAGTGCATTAGAAAATTAATTTTATAGCATTTTTGTAGGTATGATTTAAAACAGTCAAATGAAGTAAGTCATTATAGTAGATCCAATTTGTCTTATTTTTGTTTGAGTGGTTGAGTTTATATCTCATAAAACTGTGTTAGTTTATAGGTTGGTTAATTTAATCATTCTGTTTAATATAGTATCTTTAATTTAGTCCATGCTCATTGCTCAGAAGCTAATTCAATTCCTAATTTATAAGTATTATAATGTGTAGATTTTGCAACTCTATTTAGAAAATGGAGCATGGACGATCTAATTAGCAATTTGCCCAAAGATGTAAGGTATGGGATCATGGAACGCTTACCCTTAAGAGATGCAGCAAGGATGAGTACATTGTCGAAACAATGGAAAGAGGCTTGGAAAACACTTCCATCTCTTGTGTTTGATGGTGAATTCTTTAGAGAAGTACTAGGGAAAAAACGATATATAAAGCTCGAGTACACTAACATTGTGAGTAAAATACTCTTGCAACATGACGGTCCAATTGCTAAATTCAGTCTTCATATTCCGCGACATATACAGAAACACCCAGATGATGTTGTGCTCTGGATAATGAACCTATCCATGAATTGCATCAATGATTTTACTCTGAATAATTGGAAATACTCATCGCCTTTTAAGTTGCCTTCTCAACTTTTTGGTTGTACCAATTTAACTGTGTTGAAGCTGGATTATTGTATATTCAATCCTCCTAGTTCTTTTAAGGGATTTCCGAAGTTGGTATGCAATTATCTTGAGAATATTCATTTTCCGAGTGATGATGTTGTTGGAAGCTTTGTTGCTAAATGCCCGAGCCTTGAGAAGTTGGTTATACAAGGCGAAGATGGTAATGATGAACTACCAAACCTGGTTATCAATGCACCTAATCTCAAGTACTTGACCATCTCTAGTACATTTCACTCTATATGTCTGGACGGTTCGGAAGCTCTTTCGTCGGTTTCATTTACATTACAGAAATTGGTAGATCAAAAAAAGAAAAGAACACGAAACATGATAAAGTTTCTTACTTCTACATGTAGGATTGAAAACCTTAGTTTCAGAAAGCACTTTGTCAAGGTATGTAAGCGTTTTTTAATTTTTTTTTATTTTAATTTTTAATTTTTATTTACTACGGAGTATCTAGATTTCTTTTTATTTGCAACAAAGAGGTATTTTATGTGAGATACAAGCAATTCATTTGTTGTAAATAAAAAGAAACGGATATAGCTACTAGCTAGTATATCTTTTATTCATGGTTTCCTATATGAATCTCAATCAAAAGAATAATGTGTTTCAACCTGGCGTGTGCATCCTGGATCGAAGTTCTTGGCCGCGTGTGGTGTATCAAGAATGCTACCATTTACCTTTACTCATGTGAGAAATTTACGACTCACAAGCATTAATTCCTCTACGGATCTCTCCTGCGCTGTTGTCATACTACGAAGCTGTCCTAATGTCGAAAAGTTGCAAATTTCGGTAAGTCACATACTTACACTAGCACTTAACATCTAATGATATTTTGCCAACTTCAAATTTGAAGTATCTCATCGTTGCAATTACACCTAAATGTAGGTGAAAATTTCGGAGAATACTGCTGATTCTGTTGAGGACAACTGGAGTTGTAACCTTTCAAGTAAGTTTCTCCAACTCCGTAGCATCGATGTGAGACTGAACAGTGGATCAGCTGAAGAGCTGAAGCTCGTTGAGTTTTTGTTAGCCTGCTCTCCTGTGTTGCATACATTCAATCTCGAGTTTTTTGAAGAACTCGATGTAGACGACAAGATGAAGATGTCAAAGAAATTGATGCAATTTCATAGGGCATTTTCCAACATTACTGTCTTTCTTATCTTCATAGAAGGCAAATGTGATAGATGATGATTATGTAAACTTCATGCTGAATTTTTTATACCAATATAGGTCCGAAACTACCAGATTTGAGCGTTCATTAAAATAGATTGTGTAGCTAATGTTTGTTGATCGGACAAAGCACTGAAGCACATCCATAGTTTCTCTAATATTAGTGGTCCACAATAAATTAGCGTGAACCAGGTTTAACTAAACAAACTCCACTATCATGATATTTTCCTCTATTTAACTCACATTTCTAAAACTATGTACTAGTTATTTTTAGTTGTTACTCTTACAAAAATGTACCATTTTTTTTACGCAAAAGGGGAAAGATATATATATTACATCAAGGTGGTATGAGCAAAAGATGAATAAGGCCCTATTCTCTTCACCTTAAAAAATTAATATTAAGTATAAATAATTTCAGTTCACTAAAATTAAGTTCAATTCAGTAAAGATTATTTTAGTTCAGTAAAAATAAGTTCAGTTCAGTAAAATTAAGTTTTCTTAAAGAAGAATTATAATAGAAAATCGGTAAAAATAATTTCAATTTAGCAAAAATAATTCAATTTAGTAAAATTTATTTAAGTATAGTAAAAATGATTTAAGTTCAGCAAATATAATTTTGTTTCAGTAAAAATAATTTTAATTCAGCAAAAATAAGGCGGAGAGAATGGGACCTAAGTTCGCGCATGTGTAGCAGCCAAATACTTATCCATAAACTTAGTTACTGTAACATAAAAAGCAGTAAGAAAGTTGTTATAAGTTTGTACCAGTTATTTTGAATTGTTACTCTTAAAAATATGAAAGGGGGATCATTTTTCATGTGCTACCCACATGTTTTTGTAATATATATTACTCCCTCGGTTTCCAAAACTTCGAACCTTTTGGGTTGATTTTGCGGGTATTAAAAAAGTTAAACAAAAAGAAGTGAAAGTATATTGAAAAGATAAATTTTAATGTGGTTTGTAAACAAATAGGGAGAGAAAGTAATAAAAATAAAGGGAAAAACAAAATTTTATATGAGGAAGCTAATTTTGCACAAATATTATTGCAAATTAATGGATATTTTAATGCAAATTGGTCGATCATTTTGGGACTAAAATTAGGCCAAAAGGTCGAAGTTTTGGGATGGAAGGAGTAAACATAAATTAATTGCAAATGTTTCATTAATTCATGGTTACTTAATTTTGCAAGTTCTTTTAGGAAAATTAAGGGCATTGTGAATAAATTAATTAATACAATAACAGGCATGTGGGGTTATTGGGGTAATTTTACTAGAGTTTGTAAGAGAGAAACAATAATCAATGCAAATGAGTATAGTGCAATAGTAGGGGAGATAAATTATTTGCCCCCTCCATCCCAAAACAGATTTATTGAATTGAACTAATTGGAGCTAAACTGAAATAAATAGAGCTAAAATGAATTATTTATTAGAGAATGAAATTATGAACTAAATTGAACTTAACTGATTGGAACTGAACTAAACTAAAATTAAGCCGAAAAAAGTAGAAAACAACCTTTAAAATAAAGCACAATGTTAAAAACATTTTTTTAAAACTATCAATATAACAAAAACTACTATCAACAAAATCCATTAAATTATGTATTCAACAATTAGATAAACGAATCTTTAAATTTTTTTATAAAATTACTCCCTCCGTTTTTAAATACTTGCTACATTTCTCCATGCGCGGAGTTTTAGGAGAAATTGAAGAAAATAATAGAATATGGAGGTAGTGGGGTTGGTGGAAGAATTAAAAAATGTAAAAGGAAAAAGTACTGGAGAGGATGGAGGAAAGAGAATATATGTTGGGTCCTCTAGGTGAGTGGAATTAATCTATAAATAAACTAAAAGAACAACCGTTGACATCACATTGTCCATGTGGCAGTTTTATAAGAAAAATTTTCCCGGATAAATAAAAATCTGATGTCATTATATTTTCTTTGGTTTCAAATATCAAATTTAATTTCTCCTCCTCTCAATTTATCTATACTCTTTAATCTATTTATTTTTAATCTATCACCAACTATTGATATCTACTACATCTTTCCCTTATGCTTCATCGAAAAAAATACTTTGATGTATATATTTTTTTCTAATTTCCTTTATATATTACAAGTTTAAAATCACTTTTATTTGCTTAATTAAAATCGTATATTAAAAATCTAACTTTTATGTACATGCTTAAATTTTCATAGCTAATTAACTACTCACTAAACATGGTTAAGGACATCAAAACAACAAGTTCCAATTCGAACATTAAATTAACAAGTTGAGAGGAGTAGTAGGAATAAGGTAGATTGGACATACAACAACAATTAAGCAAGATCAAGAGAGGAATTTAACAATTCAAAGTAAATAAAAACTGAAATTAAAGAGTAAGAGATAGAGGAAAGAGATTACTTAAAATGCTTCAAAGTTCAGAAATTGTTGAATTCAAGAGAACAATCTTCAATTAATCTACTACAATGATTGAGTTTGAGAAAATCTAAGCTAATTAATGAGGGTTGAGAGAAACTAAGGGCCTAAGAAAACTAAAGGGAAAGAAGATGCTAAAATCTGAAGTCAAGCGTTTTATTTATATGCCCAAAAATTTCATCGTAAAATCCGTCAAAATCGGGCTTCAGAACAGGAGGAGCGCCCACTCCAATAAGTAGGAGCGCCCGCTCCTGGGCTCTCTGCATGCCCTCTCCTCTTGCAGTAGTTTGGGGCAGAATGTAGGAAAACAAGGAGGAGAGCCCGCTCCTTGAAGGCTGCACATGTAAAGATAAAAGAAAACTAGTCCGCTCAAAGAAAAACACATGTAAAGATAATAGAATCCTTAAGCAATAAAACCCGAGCATGAGGTATATGCCTAAGATCAACCACGGTCATGACTAGTCAAGGCCTAGCTAACCTTCCCGAATGTACTCAACATTGGTCCATTCAACCAATCTTACCGCGTCCCCAACACAAAGTTCAAATTCCCCCTAATGGTAGTGTACGTCTCATGACTCCTCGAAGGAGCCGGAAGAAAAATAGACAAAAGAAGGTTTAGAACACTCGACATCTCAATGATAAGTACCCTCTCCATATGCTTGTGAACCAACTCCCTCCACCGACTATGGCTTCAACTACTCTACTAACATTACAAAACTCAAGGATTACGGCACAAAGTTAAGGCATGGAGAAAACTAGAAGTGCTTTGCAATTAAACTCAAGCTAAGATAGATAGCACTAAGAGCAAACCTAAAGAGGTTTCTAACTTTGACCCAAATTACAAACTATGAATAAACTTGAAACAAAAACGCACCCCCAAGCTTGTTTAATTGCTAGGGTGGTGGCTGATATGTCTATTCTATATAGTGTTTTACCCCGTCCCGTGGTCATTATTAGTGATGTTTTTGGCTCTTTCGGGCCACTTTTATTACTAATTTGTGTCTTCTAGTGTTTTCGTAGTTTTAGTTGTATTTTACAGGAAATTGCACTCTTGGAGCATTTTTCCGGGCCTTATTGGATCGACTACGGAAGCTATAAGGAAACGATCACTTTTGGAGCCCAAGATCGGTGAGAGCCGGTGACTAAGGGCTCGGTGATTTGGATCACCAGGCATTTGGACCATGTATTCGAGACCCGAGAGGAAATATGGATTGGGCCAAGAAATCTAGCCCAATCGAAGTCCAAGCCTCGAAGGAGAAGACCGGGCCCGATCGGGCAAGCCTAGCACAATCGGGCGGATGTTTCTGGAAAGGCTCTTTTGACGAGCAATTAGTTTCTAATTAGGAGTTGTTTTAGTTAGGTTTTAAGTACGTTTTGGAGGACGATTAATTTGACTTATCTCTTTCTCTCTTATACTTTCTCTCTCTACTTAGTTTTCTCTCTCTTAATCTCTCTCTAAACTTTTGTTCTTAATTCTTTCATTAATTCCAGATTATTTTGGTAACGATTTCTCTTCCTTTAATCTTATTTATTTTATTCCTTTCATCATGATTTATTTTATTGCCTTGATTAGTTTAGTTTTTAATATGTGTGAGTAGTTTAATTTCTAGGGTTTATGGGGATCCATAAATAATATGAAGGGGTAATTTATTGTTGTTGATTATCAATGCTAGATTAATTTCTTATTGATTGGATTAATGCTCTGTGACTAGATTAGGCCTATCTTTTATGCATGAGTTTAACAATATTTATTCGAGAATCGAGAGATAATAATTAATGTTTAGGTCTAGTTTCAATAGGCAAGTTAATTTATAAATGGTTAAGTCAAGATTCGAGAGATGAGATTTAATGCCGATAAATTAATTGTGTGATTGTAATAAGTAGCGAGAGCCCTTTACAATCTGGTTAATTGATGCATTGATGATTGACTATTATTGATTATTGGTATTACATGATAATTTCTTATTGAATTGTTTTAATGTTTTACAATTGCGGCTTGTAAAAGTATAGCAATATTAAATTGATGAATCGAGCAGATGTTAATTTGATATTAGAGGCTATTTTCAATAAGGACTTAGATCTAGTAAATTGCGAGAGCCTGATAGATCTATGTTGATTAATAAATTGCGAGAGCCTGTTAATCATGTTATTTATGCAACGTCAATGATTGATTACTATGTTTTACCCTGGAGTATTATTTATTGGTGAACCTGTGCCCTAGATCCTTTTATATATTGTTTTCTTCCTATTCTCAACCTCAGTAGTTTAGTTCCTTGCTTAATTATAAATATCGGTTACTTAAATAATTTAGATTATATTAATTAGTTAGGAGTAAAAAGACTTGTTTCCCTGTGGAAATCGTAAGTCAGAGGAGTAAGAAGAATCACATAGCCGGTCGCTTTGACTTACAGGGGAATTGGCAGGTGGGAGAGAGCCGTATCCAGGCCAAAACATTATGGCATACTATTTTAGCTCATTGTTTGAGACGAGTAACCCCTCCGGATTTGAGGTAGCCCTTGAGGAAGTGGAGCACATTGTGTCGGCAGATATGAACAATGTATTGGATGAGGAACCTAGTGCGGATGAAATTAAAAACGATCTTTTT